GAATAGCCTGCCGTCTTTTGGGAGACTTGCCGTGGGAATTTGCGCAGTGAGGATGGTGCTGGGCCCTCGTCGGGAGGCCGGGAGGGGCTCTGCGCGGCTTCGCCGTGCGTGGCAATGCTGAACTCCGCTCCGCGCCTGCTGGCAGAAAAAAAACGCTTCTGCTCATCCCCTCATGCGGTGCGGTTCAGTTGTCGTAAATTCTTGCCACCGTTTTCTTTGGGAGAAATATATTAGTGGAGTTTAACCTGCGTAATAGAAAAACGAGGTTTTAAGCAACACTAGAGAATGCTTTTTTCACGTTTTAAGACTGTTTCGGGTTTTTGGTACATCCTGAACTAAACTTCTGAATTTCTTGTTACATTTAGTGGTACAGGATGCTGCTTCCTGTGGTATTGTGTGCAGTTCTGCTAATGGGGAGCGGTAAAGTTCAAGATGATGAATGGATTGACCCCACGGATATGCTCAATTACGATGCAGCATCAGGAACAATGAGAAGACCTTACAAGGTAAGAAAAGAAGGGGTGCGTGAATGCGTGTCTCTCTGAAACAGTCCTTAAGCCACTTGCTGTTGAAAGATTGCCTTTAAATTGTGCAATTAGAGAACGATAGAATTAAGGACTTATAAGGTTACCTCTGAATCTGTACACAGAAAAGCATTGTGCGTCCATTGTTAAAACGGCAAGAAAAAAACAGCAATCTGTGTTACTGTAGGTGATTAGCTCAGGGCCTTTCACTGAGGAGTTTCCATTGTGCACTGATGAAGTCACAGGAACCACGCTTTTTGTCTTTTCACAGGTGGTGGTTGACTGATTTATGCAGGTTGTGGCTCCACTAACTTTCTCTGAAAAGTACTGGGTTAAGCAACTCTTGCTAGTTTCTGAAGTATAGTGTTAAATATCTTGAAAATTAAGTTCCTAGATGATAAAAGTTGGGGGAGTTAAGGATTATATTTTACTGAATTATCCAGTCCCCCAGTAATATGCAAATAAACCCTATTTATTGTGTGAGAGTATTTTAAAAGTCAATGGTGTTTGGTAGCGTCAGAGTTCTCAGAAGGAAGATCAGAAGAGGGTTCGAGTGCTGTGCTGTTAATACTTCATGAACACTGAGGAGAAGGTGAAATACAAAAAGCTGGTTTTAGCAAGGTGAATCATACTCTGTTGTCTTGCATGAAGGGTGGACTCTACGTCTGTCATGAGATGCATATTGTTTATCCGGTGCATATGTGCACACATGATGCTGTAGGCTCTGACTGGTTGTACAGGCACCGTTGATTTTTGTCATTCTTCAGCTTTCAAGTTTGGTTTTGCCGTCTTGAATAATACCATTTTAATGCTTCAGAACATAATTTTCTGAAGCTCAAAAAATGAAAACTGCGTTATTTATCTCCACAGAGTTCCTCCTCAGCCTCCACCTGCCCAAACTCTGCCTGATAGTCATTAGCATCCCTAAAGTTCAGCAGCAAGCTTTGGAGTCTCTAAACTTGGTGCCTAACTGCTTCAGCGTTTATAAAAAAATATTAGGAGTTTTACTGTTGTCTCCCCCCAGAAATAGAACTGCATCTTAAAGGAGAAGAATGACTGATTTGGGTTAATCAATCTCCTCATGATTTCTTTTCTGCTCTGCAATGAGAGTTTTTAGGTAGGCAGGCTGTGTGGGCCAGCCGAGTCCGCAGAACTTCCTATCAGCCTGAGTTCACTGATTCATTCGTGTGATGTTGCACTTCCATTTGGGGGCTTTCCTCCATGTGCATGCCTGGCTGTGTAGAAGCAGCACTGCTAAAACTAAGTCTGAGCAGTTAACAGAAAAAACGGGATGTTTCAGAGTGAAGAGAGAACAGGAAAGGAAAGGCATGCAACCCGGAATGGAGCTCTGTGTTTGCTTTCAGTCTGGCTGGCTGTGTGGCCAGCTGGACTGGGAATCTGGCTGGCTGAAAACTGGCCCTTTGCTTGCTGAGTCAGTTTTTAGCCAGTCCGATTATCTAATCTGATGCGCCGCGTGGCTGGCCGACACTCGGAGGAGGGGAAAGGGCAGGTGGGGGAGGACAGGGCGAGACCTCACCTTTTGAAGGCAGGAGGCATTTAGATAAACTTAAAGCAATTGGCTGTTTGGAGCCTAAAGTAACAGCAGAGAGGCAGCTGGAGTATCATTGGGAGAGGATTAGCGGCGAAGACCAACACTCGGTTTTAACTCCTTTACTCCTTTTAAAGTGATCTCACTACAGAAGTGTAACATGGCATATTGATCAAATTATTTCATTCTAAAAACGTGTGCTTTTCTTATGTAATTTTAGGCAAGCTATCCTGACTCTGAGGATAAGACTGTGGATACAGTCGGTACTGAAATCTTATCGCGTTGTTCGAGGGAACTAGATTCCTTGCAACAGAAGGTTTGTTATGAACTCAAGAATATTGTCTAGCCTTTAATAGTTCATGCTTTCTGATGATGCTTTTCTGGATGGTATAGAACTGGTGAATTGCTGGCATAATTTGTGAGAGACCATGTATGATGTAGGGGGAACCCCTTTATTCAGAGGAGAGACTGGAAGTGGTTTGAACTCAGTTTGGAATTGCTGTGTTGCCTGCCAAGGTATGTTTCCTAAAATGTTTTATAGTGTAACAGAAGTCGATAGGAGCTACGTGCTTCTGTCCAGTGTCAACAGTTTCAGCGTGTGGTGTTGACGTTACGCTGTGCTGCCAAAAGCTAAGAAGCCCGACCTTTCATTTTCACGCCGTTCAGTTCTGTTGGGTTTTAAGGGGTGGGTTGTGGGCCCAGCGAACACGCTTGTGGCTGACCGTGACGTGCCTTGCTGCAGCTCTCAGAAGCCGCTCTAAGACCCCTACGCTCCTTCTTCCTCTGAGGTGAGGAGGATGTGGTGACGCTTGTGTAGCTATCGGGGCTCTCACTTCCCTCAGCCATTCGGAGATCCAACGGGATATGTAATTTTGATGTTGTTTTGGTTACTCAGTATTTTTTACACGTGTCGTCTTTTTTTTTTTTTTTCCTCCTCTGATGTAAACTTAAAATTCAAGGAGATCCAGAACTTCAGTTTCCTGTAGTCTTACTTTAGTACACAAACTGTATTATTAGCAGATCTGAAATCTTCAGTACTGGCCAGTCCTGTGGAAAGTAGTGTCTTCAGCAACTGCATGTGCTTTTTATCTGGTGTACTCAGCACAGGATTATTACTAAAGAGATACGCCTCTGTAATCCTGAGTTTAACTTGTGGGTAGGGTTTTTTTTCTCCTAGGAACAAGCTGGTTTGAGCAAGAAGTGCATAAAAGTGCCTTTACATTGCAGGTTGCAGATTGTGAGAGGAGGAATGCCAAGTCACGTGAAAGCCGTAGCTTTTACATTTTTAAGCGATACTTGAACAAGATTTTAAATGAAGCTGGAAAACTTGGCCTTGTAAGTATTTGAATAGTCATTAAAAATGAATTAGAGTTCATATTACTACTTTATGTGCTTTTCACAGTTATCAAGTATTGATTAATTATTCTGGCATACTTTAAATTAAAATGAAGGGAACTGAATTGCAAAGGAAAAAGTGATACAAGTAGGTGCATCCAGTATGGCTGTTTGTGGACAGTGTTTGCTCAGGA